TTATAAAAGTGTGATATAAAAAGTTTTGACTATGGATTATTTTGTTACTAACTGTTAGAATCTGAATGACAGTCGTTAAATGTTTCTTTGGSTACGGATCTCGTCTTTTTTGTTGATCCGCCTCTGCTTATGTCCCAAATGACCTGGCGTGAGGYTWCAATTGTAGATCCAATCGTCACTGACTGCGAAAATTGCCTCAACTCCGAACAATGTCAAAATATGACGGTTTTRTTAGCTAAAYTCAAAATGTCACGGCATGTTATCCTTTGATTTTGACATTTTTATATTCATATGGCTTGACCATACTCTCTGGTAGGCCAGATAAGGCCATGCTTGTGCCAAAAATATATTTGTGCCTTAATCCAAATATCTAGAATGTTGCCAGGCTCGATAACGCTGAACAGATGCAGTATTATTAATTTGTTAGTTTCATTTATGGAGAAATAGTTAAGAATCTCATCCGCCACGTGTTTTAATGTTAGTTTTGCTGTGGAAAAACCAAGACCTTATTTTATTTGATAATAGCCAATCCCCTTCGAGAGAGCCTGATACTCAGGCTAATTGGATAATGATTAAGAAATACAGTAGTCACATATAATGCATATGAATCATATATCATATTTCACCTTTTTTGAGATTGACAATCCTCAGTTCGGGAGACCACTTGTATCAGAAAAGAGAGATATATTACAGTAACTGATGTATTAAGAATCACAGAACTAGTCTGAATTGCTTCATAATTTAAAATAAAGTTTATCTGGAGTCAAAAGAAATGGTCTAGTCTCTCTCAGTTGCTTGTTCTCCAATTGAAACTTATTAAACGTTGAGAACAAAGGAATTCTCATAATTCCGTACCTTTTAAATTGCTGCGGAAGGTTACCGTATGGTGACTGATGTATTAAGAAACACAGAACTAGTGTGAATTGCTTCATAATTTAAAATAAAAAAAAAACTTATACATAATTAATGAGTTATTAGGCCAATAGAATGAACCTATTAGGTCACATGCATGGACCTTTATATCTGATAAAACACTCCTTAAAACACTCTCTCTCGTGTTTTAAACTATACATAAAGTTTAACTGGAGTCAAAAGAAACGATCTAGTGTCTCTCAATCAATTGTTCTACAATTGAAACTTATTAAGATAGAAAATAAAGGAATTCTCATAATTCCGTGCAATTTAACACTACCWCTGAAGGTTACCGTGTGGTGTTGATTACTGCAATATTCTCTCATCGAAGGCAGTCCATACTGTACATGCAGTTGTCATTCTGTATTGAGATCTTCGGCAATAAAATGAATCTAAAACAATATTTCAATMAAATGCGTCGTATTCAGATCAGGTCGAATCTCGTATCATTATCATATGAGTCATTGATTTTTGCATCAAATTCTTTTCATCGGTATTAGAAATCACACCATTGTCGAACAAAGAGGATAGTTGACCTGCGAAATGGTGAATTTATATCKACAAAAACAATGCACGAAGAATTTTCCTTTGAGCATGAAAACTCACTCTATTTATAATCTTTTTAGAGAGCTATGGGGATAATTAAGACATCTCTACACTGTGTTAGCTTCGAATGCGTGTAATTAAAATATGCAGAAATTTGGATAAACCTCGTGAGATTTCAAATATTTTTATTGTTATCTATACTTACAGATCTCTTGATACGRATTTTGTCTTCGRGTGTTTGCTACATTCACTCGTGAGAGGTTATATATCAACACGAAAGATAAAATGTGTATCTCTAAGTGACCATATAATATTCTGTTTATCATATAATTATATAAGAAAGCAAATTATGYCGCAAATCTTTATCTTACTTCCCATGAATGTATGGACAAACCTTGAATGTTTTACACTTTTCGWAAGAGAGAAGTGTAAGTATTTCATMTTAAATGATAAAAGAATATATCACATGGCATTTGAGGCTAGAAACGTGTAAAAGAGAACGCTAAAAGAGGTTGTTTTGATCTTTTATTTGTATAAATATTTTAAATGTTTTAAAATTCRCAATTTTCTATATTTCTTTTAGTATCTAGAGTTCTTGTTAGTCGGACTGCTTTCATATATAATCATATGATAGGCAGAACATTACATCATAGTCTTCTCCTATACACGCACCCAGAACTAGCTAGCCCGACTTCACGCTCTAATAGCGTCTTTAGCTATTGATAGATTAACGATTCGTGTTATGCGCACGTATTGGTACTTCTTTGTTGTGAATGTGATGGGCGTTGATAGGCAGTTAAGAGGAATCATGGCCAAGTCAATAGAATTATGAGCGATTGTTATCAAGAGCATGTTATGCTAGTCTCTTAGGTTGATACCAATAATAATTYACTCCTTGACCTTTGGGCTATTTTCAGCTCATTGAGATATTCCATCAATGATGGGATCGTACAGGAACGATGATTGTTATAAATAAACTTCTTTGAGTCATGGGAGGGGGGGGAGGGGCTACGGGAAGGGAGGGGGAGGGGATGTATAAAARCGCCATATAATTATCCTATTCTTTSTCGGGACCACAAAAACGGCTTTTCCATTAATTGTCTTTAACTCCCTCGAGTAGACTACCATATTYAAAAATCGGTTTTGGGAAAATTGAAGACAAGGGCGATTATGTGGGCACTATGCAGGCCTAAAGATTCCGCAAAAAGTGTACAAAATACTGTCATTTGCCATTATATTTGCATTATTCGTCTATTAAAAGATTTAAACAACCAAAGAAATGTTTAGAATACAGAAAACAAAATAATTAAGAAACGTTGAAGAAATTTTGAAGAAATTCACTGCAACATTTTCCATAAACTGTTCTCGGCTCATGACTATCCATTCCATCTGGGAGGCAACCACGAACACCTTTTCACTAATATCCGCGGTCATTTAACCAAGTCAYGCAAMATCTTGAAATCACAAAAGKCTACATTCGATCTAGATGCAWCATATTATTTGCCTATTTAAAGTGTCACGGAAAAAAGCGACATGTATCCAGACAAAAATTAAAAGGCTGATATTCACGCTAAGTTAACTATCAAAAAATATAAGTATATATGATATACAGAGCTGATGTGGGTAGTACTGAAATTGCGAGCGATTTACAATTTGAATAAAAAATCAGTGTGTTAGCAACTAACACGAGACAATGTTAGTATATATCTAAGAGTTTAATTGTCAAGCGGAGATTGTACTAACGAAGGAAGCTATGTTTTTTGTTAATTAATAGGAAATAACTGATTTATGCTATAAGATAGTCTGTGAGTGTGATAAAGAATGGCTCCTTTTAGTCTCCATCTCTACGTAAAATGAACACGGCAAGTGAAAACATTTTGTATTGTTCAACAATAATACAAATGTCCCTTTCAGTCATGTGATCTTTCTTTCTTTCTTTCTTTTTTATTGTTTCTTTTGAAATAGTTTCATATTATGTATTCTCATATCTTTACATGAGAATATATAGAATCACTCTACACTTTAACGCATCTTATTATAGTAAACCACATTTTCCTGTTGGTCAACGATTATCGATTTACGAGTTAAGAGCAGGAAGAGTTTGCGGTCATTTGATTACTATCCCGTGCTGTGAGTAGAAATTACTGAGATTACAACAGACATGCAATAATGGAATCTCTCTCATAGCACTAGAGCTATTTTCAAAACATCTGTCTTTGTTTTTTTTACGGCTTTTTTCTTAATTTTTCAATTAATTTTTGTTATTCAGCACGTTGCATAGCAAAAATAAGTAGAATTATCCCTAAGACTTAGCTTAGATCATGGAATCCAATTTCTAAAGTCTTAGCTCGCTATGAACTTTAGACATCTCATATCCAGTTGGTCTTCCTGTGTCATTTGATACGTGATTGACGTCTTTCTGACGTTAGGTACACATTCAGATGGTCGCTTTACCAAATATAGTGAATTCGTTCAGCGATAGAAAAGCTATGRTATTTTCCATATTTTGTGTCTATGCAAGTTTCACTAAATTCTACATATTTTGAATGCTAAAATGTCCGGCAAGTATTGGCACACAAGTCCATGTCGCTAGTAAATTGGCATTTCTGAGTTTATGAATTAAATATCTAAATATATACACGTAATCAAAAAGATTTTGCACAAAGAAATAGAGGATTAGTACACAATTAGTTATAATGAAAACTGATAATTGCTTTCTTTTGTCTAAGACAAAGGTCAAACGCCTGTTATGAAAACTTCTCAATGCTCTAAATCGTATGAGCTGACTTGTGTTTTTAGAAAGCACATAGTTTTTACCATAAACTACCATTTGACACTGTAAACATTTTGAAATTAAAAGGTCTTGAAAGATTGGTCATAAAAAGAAATTTGAGTTAATAGGTTCTGCGTTTTGWTCCAGTCCTAATTCATTATACCCTAATTCTCTGTACTGCGATGTTTATAAAGAAAGCATGAATGAGCAACTTAGACCAAAGGGTTGATTTCATGCCACTTGACACTTAAACAGCTAGAACCTTTGTTAATCGTGACTTCGAAGTTGGCAAAGTTCGTTCGTATATTCAGTTTTGGTTTTGCTGCGAATTTAACGGGATTTACCGATAACTTCACAATTTTATTAATTTATTATTCAAATTAATTGTCAAAAAACACAATACTGCGTGCACTCATGCTATTGTTTACATACGTTTAAATGCGACAAGCATACAATAGATTATARATTGATAATACCTGTGAGGTACTTAGTTAAAGTATTTCTGTCCAAACTGAAAKGATGGAAGACGATTCGCGCTCACTAACAAAAATATCTTACGAATCCACCATTTTCGTGTCCACCTAAAATGGCGCTTACGGCTCGCAAAGGACGGCGTTTGGTTGTGGTTCTTTATTGTATTTCTTTTGCACTAAAGTACAAAATGATCTATTTCTCTAGGACAACGATTACGTAGTAAAGGCGTATATATATTATATTTGTATGTTTTGCTTTTATAGCGTTTGATATTTATCAATATAACATCTTGCAGAAATTTAGAAGATAACAGATTACAACGAATATCCACATGGATGTTCAAGGACTTAAAGTATCTACGCTCTCTGTAAGTAGAAAACAATGCTAACATRTCAAGCTTTTCGTCGGACGTAATTTGGTGACAAAGAATTTATGAAGACTTTTTGGAGTGTTCTCCCAACAATCATACGTGTTTCAAATAGAAAATTTTTAAATTTTAATTTTAATTTTTAAATTTTCTTTAAAAAGACGGRAAACATCTCCAATGGTTAAATTTTGTAAATTACAGCTCTACAAAAAAACAGCTCTTCGCTTGAGTGCACATTTCTTTTTACCATAACTTGTAGAATTCTCGCGCTCTGATTGGTCGAGAGCCGTTGTCGGTCATAGGACAGAACGATGAAATGACGAATCGCTCGCGCACGGAGCCGGCGMGCGCCAGAAACGATTKTTTTTTKAAAGTTTTACTTTGTTTTCGGCCTTGTTATGGTAAAAAAGCAAATCGAAATCGCTTTTGCTATGGTCTGTACGCTTATCGACAATGAAAATGACGTCAGAAAATGATCAAAACTCAAGTGGAACCACGAGCGTARCGAGACCATAGAAAAGCGATTTCGATTGGACATTTCAACCAATCACACCGCGTGTTGTATAATAGTTATGATCGTTCTTGRAGTTTTTTTAATGTTTATCTTGTAAACGACACAGAAATGGTTCAAAACAACGAACTGAACCGAATCACACCAAACAGTGTACTAGCATAAACTTTCATCTGATTATCTCCCATATTTGGAACTGATTTACCTTATATTAGAAATGCGAATGGACTCAAGATATTAGGTGCTTTTACAAACGTGATTAAAGTTTTTAATTTTTTTTCCTTCTTTTTCGTTTTAGTAACCTGGACCATAATGACATTTTAACTATTGATAAAGGTGCCTTCACAACTCTACATAGTTTAGAATCCTTGTAAGTGTATACTTATCAGGATGAGTCYCATTCAGATATTTTTCCCCTTTATTTACTGATCCTTATTTCTATTTCCACATTTGAAGACTGAAATATGGGTGTCTTTACCCTTACCTCCCCCTTTCTCTTTCTCTAGATCCTCCCTTGATTACCTCCCCCCTCCCCCCACCATCTTTACTCTAAATCCTCCCTTGATTGGACTGCTTAAAATCGTGTTTAATTGAGTAATGTCTGTATTCTACAGAAATATATGCTGCAATGAAATATCAGCTATTGAAGCRGAGTCCTTTCCAGGTTCCCTGAAAACCTTGTAAGTCTTATTTCTTACCATGATGAAGTTAAAATAAACATAGAATGAACAAAAACGGATAATTAATTGAAATTTATCGTTAGAATTAGCAGGGAGGTTTTCTAAAATTACTTTTTAAATTTTTTTTCAAAGACTCACATTCATCCGATAATTTCTATTCCTAAGCTTACATCCATGCCAATTATGTTTAAGTTGTTTTTGTTAAAAGGGGAGGGTAATTTTTTTTAACGAGGTGGTGGGTTTTTAAGGGGTGTTATCATTTCTAGATTTTTTGTGGGATTTATTTTGAAACAAACAACTTCTGAATTAAATTGGTCAGACCAATCATGATATTTGATTTCAGAGATCTTCAAGACAACGTACTGGAGTCAGTTCCTACCAAGGCACTAAAGAATCTCAAAAGACTACAAAATTTGTAAGTAAAAATGAAAACATTGACAATGCATCAGTATGATATAATTCGTAATATGCGCATACCATGACATCAGAGCATGACGTCAAAGGCTGATATCATGTGTTTTTACAGGAATCTTGATGCTAATCTAATAGAGTGCATCCATAACAATGCATTTGAAGGACTACAAAGTCTGTCAGAACTGTAAGTAGTTGGAGAATCTGATCACTGAGCTCAAGTTTTGATTTACGAGGTCTCATCTCTATGCGATCGATTTGGGGGTATATGAAGATGCCTTAAAGAGACATGGTCCACCAGCATCCCTTACGATCTAAGTTTTTGGACCATGTCCCTTTAGTACATACAAGTCGTAGCACCCACCCAACGACTAATGTGTGATCACAGAGCACAATTATTATCAAAAACTGGTTTAGCTGAGAGGGAATACCAAAGGACCTTGAGTAAAAACCAAGGGAAATATCTAAATTAACCAAGTGTGATGCCAAGCCAAATCACTTAATGTATAGTTTATTTCTTATATCTCTATTTCTTCTGTCTACGTCTTCAGGCTGTTTCTGCTTTCTTGTTTATCAGTTATTTTGTAAGTCTTTTACTCATGTTTTTTTTTCACATATTCGCTGTCTTCTTAAAAGGACATAGCAAGTATATTTATGTTGCTTTATCCGATCAATTCCTTTTGTTTATAATTGGATCAATCAACAGCTCAATCAAATGGGACAAGGTAAACCACGTTGAACACCAGGCCTTTTATGGACTACCTCGACTTAGACAACTGTAAGTGTTGAAGCAAAGGCTTTTTTTTTATGTTGTAAAAGCAGTATAGGTTGCACTTCTAAATTGTAGAACATTTTGTWCGTGTGTTTTTATTTCTCTGTTCCGAATGCTTTCAATTTCGGTTGCATGTCRTTGATATCCGCCATCTTTCATTGTTTCATCTGCATTGCCATGACAAACCTAACCACAGACAGTGTTGATTATGTATTTATAAACTAAAGCAATGCATTCCTATTTATCTCATTGTATCTGTCTTTTGACAGAACGTTGGTCAACGTGACTCTCAAAAGGTTTCCTAATCTTACTGGGACAACTTCACTCCAATTTCTGTAAGTGMAAATAATATAATTGATATCATTGTATTTTCACTGCAGACACTTGAAACAGAAAAAAACGAAGAATTAAATTTGCAGTCATTTTGTGTCGTATTAATGAACTCTTTGGTATTTTTGTTTTTTAATTTGCTTTTATTGACAGAAATTAAAATCTCACTAGTGTTAAATAATAGTGTTTTATTTTGTTTTATTCTTTAATATCTATTTATTTGTGTTTGCTGTTGTTTTTTTTTTTCCTGTGCGTTCTCGAAAAAAAAAGAACGAATACATTGTCATTCTTCAAGATTTCACCCATATGATGCTTAATTTTCTTTAAAAGACACCAATATTCTATTACCACTATTGTAGGACGCTGGACTGTAATGAAATAAAAGCATTTCCACCGGATTTCTGTGAAAAATTTCCAAAGCTACGGAAACTGTAAGTTTACATTTTTTAGTCCATGGCTGAATTGAGTTAATTGAGTGAATTTACAGTAACGCGATGCAAATTCTATTAGGAGCGCTGAAATGAACAGAATCACAGCATTGCCTGATATGTCCAAGTGTTCGTCGCTTGAATCAATGTAAGTTATGGACTTTGTGAAAAGATATCCGATGTTATTACAATTTGATCGGTGACCATTTTGCCATATCTGAATGGTTTGATAATTTGTGTTCAAGTTCTGATTTTGGGTTTTTCTTTTTTCTTATTTTTGGGGGTCTTTTTTAGGAGGAGCTAGAGGRGGGGGGGGGGGGGGGGAGATTATCAAAGTTGACTTTACTTTGGGCACATTAATTGGTCATTTGTTGATTTCTATTAGTAACCTCGATCACAATCACATCACCTCCATTGATTTACAAGGCRCGAACAACCTTGAAAAGATGTGAGTATAAGTCACTGTTGGCTTGCTTGTTATGTCTACMAAAAATGATTTWAAATTAAAAGGCCGGCTAGCATCGAGAACGATTGCGAACATTTGTTTCATTTTGTTTTAAATAAATATATTGCTCTTTGATTGTTTTGAATTCAAGATTACGCAGCTCATGTWAAGAAATATGCTTGGCAGTAATTCCCCCAGATATCATATTTCCAGTATTTTTGATTGAATATTTTTGATATAGAGATTTTTCTATCATTATTGATTCCTAAATTTCACCGTGATTCATGACACAAATACTATATATATTATTTTCCTATATTATTTAACTATATTATATTATATTTCATTGAAAAGATGTTTGTCGCTTGCATTTAGACTCATAATTGTAGATCTAGATACATCAACMTTGATGATTTTAACTTTGTTTGCCCGAAATTTCGTTTTGAGCGGGTATCATCAGGTGAMAACTATGATGCTTAGAAATCAGTACGGAGAGACTCAACCTGATTTGCATATAMGACGTTGTTTAACTCTTTCTTTCTTAATCATTTAATAGCTCTCTAAAAAACAACCGAATCAAGTATATCTCAAAGAACGCATTCAAAGGAAACACCAAGCTAACCAGTCTGTAAGTTTTATATCAGAAAATATTAGTTTCGAATAMGAAAATTACCAGATAATAATCAATATACACCATGTATTCATCGGTGATATATTATCCTTAAAGTTGCGCAATGAATTCATAGTCTCCTKCACGGTAATCTCCGCCATCTTGAAATGAAACCGTGATTTTGCATCGAAGCCAGCCGACTGGTGAGCACGTAATGACAGAAACGTTTGCTACCATACACACAAGTATTCAAAGTTGTCTATTCTTCCGACTCTCTTCGATTGCCTCGCTYCGATGCTAATRCACGGATACATTTTGAGAAGACGCAAGGAGACATGAGAAAGACTATTGTTCTACTTRTCTTTTTTTTAGCATCATTGCGCAAAATCATATCCAAGATATTGCCGAAGAAGCATTTCAACCTTTGAAATCACTGCTTCTATTGTAAGTATATATAGTTATATCCCAACAATATATTTTCACGCGCATCCATYGGTCCAAAGGCGTCACGTGGTACATTTTAGGCGGACGACGCTGTGAACGTATTTTACGTTGAGAAAATTACTAGCCACTAAAATGCCGGTTTTTACAAACATTTTTACTCGCTAGTTCGTTCTGTGTCTCTTAATTTCGCAAATGCTATGTCTAATGGCTATCATTTTTACTTCAGCTCAAAGCAAAAGAACTAAAGACACTCATTTTCGTGTTTTTTTTTGTCGAAAAAGACTTAGATTTACGTTAAACGCAGCAATAMATTTTTAATTTTTGCTTCAGTAGAGACTTTTGCCGCCTTGTCAACACTTGTCAAATGATTAACCAATGAAATAACGAARAAATTACAGTGAACCAATCACATCGTTTGTAGATTTTACCTTGCACTTTGTTGTCTTTTCTTCCTCAACACAACAAAATGAATTCGTTGGGATATAAAATAAATAAACCCCTTCTGCCGGCTGGGATATCGGCTGATAATGTCCTCGGAAGAGAAATAGTCCTCAAAATATCACAAATGTTCATTTTTCGGACCATTTCTCATCGTCGGACATTATCAGCCGATATCCCAGCCGGCAGAAGGGGTACACACAGAGACTTTCTGTCGTGCTATCGCCGTTTCATTAGTATAAATATTTAGTAAATAAACCCCTTCTGCCGGCTGGGATATCGGCTGATAATGTCCGACGATGAGAAATGGTCCGAAAAATGAACATTTTGGCCGAGAAGCTTTGCTTCTCGGCCAAATGTTCATTTTTCGGACCATTTCTCATCGTCGGACATTATCAGCCGATATCCCAGCCGGCAGAAGGGGTTTATTTACTAAATATTTATACTAATGAAACGGCGATAGCACGACAGAAAGTCTCTGTGTGTGTTATTGTTTTGATTGATAATATTCACTCATCTTCTGAAAAACAACGAGAAACCAAACAATCTGATATAACGGCCCGATTTTTGCAGCGCGATAATCGCCACTTTGCTATCGCTCAACCGTCAAATCGCACATATAAACAGCCTTGCGATTAGATACTGCTGTTAGATGGTAAACACTTMACTTAATATTTTGGCCCTGCAAAAATCGCAAGTGTAAGCGGRCCTTAAAAGATCTAAACATTAGTATTCACTACMTTTGTTGGTTGAATATCTTAACATTGATAATCAATATCCAYAGTCGCGCATCCAACRGCTACCACYGGAAAAAATGCGCYCTTTAAAAGGTTGTAGATTTGATGTAAATATTATGTAAGTGTCCAAAATGATGTAAATTTGATATAAATRATTTTTTACAWAATATTTACATCATATTTACAACCTTTAAAGTGCGTTTTTTTTGCAGTGTACTTGCCTGAAAAAGATTCCTGAAATAGCGTTATACAGCGCGAGTAGGACAAAACACTACACAGACAGGTTGAACGTGTGGGCTTACGCCTGGATGACGGAAACAAGCAAACAGAATTGATTATTTGATTTTCATGTCTTYAGAAATCTAAGACGGAACCGTTTAGCTTCGTTAAAAGCATTAAAATACCTCGGAACGCTGCAGAATTTGTAAGTATCTTGTAAATGTGGATTTTATTATCCTCATCGATAAGGTTTAAACGTATGGCTTACTTTCCCCAGAGATTTGGGTGCAAATTCTATCAAAGAACTCGATGGTGAAACATTTGAAGGACTAAAAAGCCTGACACAGTTGTGAGTATAGCTTATTTAGTTATCCTTCAGTCAATCAAACGATGAATCATTTCAGGGTTGTACTGAGATGCCTTTTTTGTTGGGCACTTTTTTCTTCTTTTCTTTTATTTCTTCTTCATTTGTGCACGCACTGTAAAAAAGCTTGGAAAAATCGTATATTTCGATTTTTGTCCCTCTCATTGGTTGAGACTCGGCCACGTGACGCGATAGTGTCCTCCGTGGATGGGTACTGCCAGTGMTTATAACTCAACAGCAAAATTTSCTCCGCTCACGTTATTGGAGAGTCAAAAATATTTATTGTTTTATAATATAAACAATGGAGCATTGTAATTATCTGGAATTATGCTGTACTAGCTAACTTGGAAACTGGTTTCTCCTCAATTCGAACTCAATTCTCGGGCAACTATTTGCATTTTTTTGGGAAATCTAGTTTCCGCAGTCAGCTGTCACRCAGAGTAATATTCCCTCGGATGAAACAACTCTATCTACTCCATTGTTAAGTGGGAATTATTAAGTGGCAATCYATTAGAGCTATGCACTAAAGCTTTTGTAAATTAAAAAGAAAAAGTGCAACTGAAGTCCTAAAAAAAGTCTTGCACTGACAAAATCTTCCAACCAACCTTCTACCCCCTCCCTCCCCTCAAAATTTTAATGAATCGCTCCTAAGAACTATAATGTYGATTTATGTCTAGGACTTTACGACGAAATAATTTAACGTCAATTCCAACTAAAGCTTTGAAGCATCTTTGGAAATTACAAAACCTGTAAGTATCTGGGTTGCCTTTGGTTTCATCGTTATGCAGTGTAAGACTGTTATTTGAATTGTTTAGAGACTTAGGGGCAAATCCCATCAAGGAGGTTCACGATTATGCTTTTGAAGGTTTGACAAGTCTTCAGGAATTGTGAGTAATTAAGCTTAGTGGCAGTAAAATTTTACAACCATCCCAATAAATTACCCAAGTATTCTTCGGTTTYTTCCATTCATTATCTGTTCATTATAATCGATTTTTCCATCAAATTGCAAATAATAAGTGCTGCTAAAGCAAACGACCAGGCAATAGTCAATTAAACGACAGCCCATCTCTCCACTAACCAACAAACTAGYAACCAATCAACCAACCTACCTACCAACAAACAAACCTACCAACATACAATAAAGCCAACCAACTAASCAACCAGGCAACCAATCAACTACCTATATAACCAAACAGCCAATCAATCCATACACTACCCTACCAATTCTCCCAGAATCAAGCCAAATAACCAATCAATTAAAACAAACCGGCAATTGTACAGTTATGAACACAGTGTTTCAGATGATTGCCGGTTATTCATAATAATAATAAAATTGATGATTTTTCAGCTCTATCAGTTGGGAAAAAGTTGAAAAAGTTGATCACAGAGCATTCAAAAAACTTCCCTCGTTAAAACAACTGTAAGTCTCTCAATCATAATCTCTTGGATTTATCGGAATAGTCCCCTTCACGGTTAGGTGCGCCATCTTGAAAGGTAGCCGTGAAGGAGACTATTGATGGCCAATATATTTAATTCTATTGAATTATCGCTTTGCTTTCTTGCAGGTCTTTGGTGAATGTCAATCTCAAGCGCTTTCCAGATTTAACAGAAACTAACGCTCTTCAAGACTTGTAAGTAACTTACGTGTCCGATAGGTGTCTACATACCCATTCATCAATCATCTGTTAATTATATCATCAATTAATCAATCAATCAATCAATCAATCAATCAGCCAATAAACTATTCAATCTGAGTTAATCAGTAAACAAGACAATCTATCGCATCAATAAGCCAAAAGGAAGTAAATGCAAACACTAGAGCTAAACCAACTTCTTTTATAAAACCCATTTTAATGAGTCAAAACTCTTTTTACTCGTTTCTTTCCTTTTTCCAAATAACAGGATTCTGGAATCTAATTTCATCACATCATTGCCTAAGGATTTCTGCCAAATGTTTCCCAAACTCTACAACTTGTAAGTGTGACTTGTGTATATAGTTGATATAGTGTACGGATAAATAGTCTCGGCCTGCTATATTGGTGTACAGTATTCCACTACTGATTTGCATATACACCTAATTAAGAAACGTTGCCGGACGGCGGGAAAGGGGTATCACTTAATTTCATTTAAATTGTAAATCGATATAATATTCAGTAGTTATAATTGCTCTTGAACATTGAATGCCACCGTTGCGCAGTCTTGCTTCTGATGATACATATATCATCTTATTGTATTTATGCAATGCTGAATGAATATTTTTTTTATATTCCACAGTAACGCAAACATGAACAGAATTACAAGTATTCCTGATATGTCTAACTGTACCTCGATGGTTTTATTGTAAGTACTTTTGTCACGTTTATAACTTATATCAAAGCCCCATGTGCATCCGAAAGCCTTTGCATGTTCTAACATAAGAAAAAAAATCGCTATCTTTGAACCAAGCAGAAAGCAACTTTCAACAACAGAACATTTCTAAAACAAACAAAAAAAGAAGAAGAAGAAAGAGAAAAAGCACTACATCTAAAAGCTTCAGCGAGTTTTTCCTCAAAAACTCCACCGTCTTGGAAATTTGACAATGCGCTTGGAGGGCTGGCACTAGTATTTTCATTAGTCGAGAACTGCGTCAGCGTTTGTGTTTCGTTTTCACTGATATAGGACTGAAGTGAGAGCAAACSCATCCCCAAACATTTTGATCCTTGTGTTTTGTTGGTTTGCGTTTAAGTTTGGGCTTGCGTTGGGTCGGTTTTCACGCTGTATATGAGCCTTACGCTCTTGCGCTTATTGGGTTTAGCTTTAAGTCGTAGTGAAAACCGGGCTTAAGAATGCACGTGTTCCCTTAAGAGTGATAATTGCAATGATCTATCTCATTTTCTCTGAAAAGTGAATCGACTTACTGTCACTAGCAAAACAGTTGACCATATTCCTCTTTGTTGTTACTGTAGACACTTGGTTTTCAATCGAATTACATCAATTGGTACATCGTTACAGGGAATGTCTACACTAAAAGATATGTAAGTTTATAAAATTATTTTTTGAAAGTCGCGTATGACCGTTAATTTTKCCTGCACCATCATTATCATCTAATGACCATAAATGATTTTTTKMACCCATTCAGAACTCTTAARCAAAACGCCATTACAGAGATACCAAGCGGTGCATTCACTGGAAATAAAAGACTTGAGAACTTGTAAGTAGAGCAGCCGGACTGGTGYATATCCAGGGCRGATCCGAATTTTCTCTTCAGGGGAGTGTAGGAYTCTCAATTTTGAARTGCATTATTTTTCCTGTGATAGGAACCTGGCTCACAACAAAATAGAGAAAATTGCTGATGATGCTTTTGTACCTTTGGAATCTCTCACTACTTTGTAAGTATTCTGCTGATACCTCAAGATCTTTGGCCCACTTGAAAGTATTTGCTGTTGTTGTTTATCGATATTGGTATAATATCAATACTGCGTCAAAAGTGGTAAGGCTGCACAAGAAATTATGCTAAACCTCAAAAAATAGAATGAAAATTTTCATTCTATTTTTTGAGGTTTAGCATATTTTCTTGTTCAGCCTTACCAGTCAGTCAATAAGTACATGGTAATATATATCGAGCAATTCTCTCCGATTAAATCACCAGCATGCCCGTAGGAACTGCCAACAAAATCTGATAATATTGTTTGCAGAAATCCATCCACTTGTTTACAACAAATCGCAAAAACATTTTCATATAGAAATAGAGCATTTTTAGTCAGTTAAATACATTAAATGAGTACACTGAAGGACTAAATACACACAATGACCTTTGCGCGATTTCTTTACATACTAGAATTAGGCATCTATGATTTTGAACCAATTAGAAAGTGTATTTGAACAAAATATTATTTTGGTAAACAAAAGAAACGATTACAAAGCCTCTTGGATGGACTTTTCATTTTATTATGAATAAATTTATTTTTACTTAAGTACAAAAATGTTCTATTTCTCTGCGGTGATATTTTTTCAATGAAGTGTATATCTTTTATTCTCTCTGATCTCTATCCAGTAAGTCTAATATACTTTCTTTGTCCAAACTAGAGACYTAAGCTACAACGACTTTGTCAAGTTGCCTACAAAAGGGATGCAGCGTGTACGCGAGCTAAAACTCCGAGGCAACAAAAGATTGAATGAAATATCCGCTGAGAGCCTTCCAAGCGTTCGCTGGGTTGAAGCAAGCTATCCTTACCACTGCTGTCAATTTCGCAAAAAGGTTCACGAGGTCGCATTGGCTCCTGTGGATAAGACGACTTCAGTAACAAATAAAGGATGGACTTGGCAGAACTTTGAGGGAATGAACTTYCTYATTGARGGGTCTGGAAACGAAACTATGACACTTGACGAAGATGACGAACTTTCTGGATTCGGCTCAGCTCCAATCGATCCCGCAATTGCTCACGACAGAGAGGAGCCTGAGACTGAGARAACTACACGACAACCTTCAAATTTACCGTCGGGAACTGATGCTGAACTTCTCAGTGGTTCTTGGAACCCTCCTCCACTGGCTCCATTTGATGTGAACTGCACCCCCCTTCCTGACCCTTTTTTTCCCTGTGAAGACCTTATGGGGTCGTGGTGGCTCAGGGTAGGAGTGTGGTTTGTGTTCATGTTAGCGCTACTTGGCAACGCTGTGGTTGTCATCGTGATTGTGCTTTCCAAGACAAAAGTTGACGTATCCAAGTTCTTGATTATTAATTTAGCCRTGGCTGACCTCTGTATGGGGATATATCTCGGTTGTCTGGCCATTGTCGACGCTTCAACTATTGGTAACTTCATGCATCATGGTGTTGACTGGCAGCAGAGTTCAGGGTGTAAAACSGCTGGATTTCTAGCAGTGCTATCCAGTGAAGGTTCAGTCTTCACATTAGCTGTCATTACTATCGAGCGTTACATCGCCATAAGACATGCACTACACGTGGAAAGAAAAATGAGYCTGCGTCAAGCTGCCATCGTGATGGCCAGCGGTTGGTTTCTTGCTTTTATCATTGCTACATTGCCAYTACTCAAAGTCAGTGACTACACCAAATTTAGCATYTGTTTACCTTTTGAGACTGGGGACGAGCAGTCCCTCGCTTTTGTAACATTATTGCTAAGTTTGAACTTTATCGCATTTGTTGTGATATTCGGCTGCTATGTACGAATATATTTTGAGATCCGTGGATCAAATGCGTGGAACACTAGTGATACTCAAGTAGCACTACGTATGGCTTTGCTAGTTGTGACTGACTTCGTGTGTTGGGCTCCAATCGTCATCATCGCTTTGCCAGCAGCGTTCGGGTCAACGTTCGTTAGCCTGGAGCAAGCTAAGGTCTTCACTGTGTTTGTTTTTCCTCTCAATTCATGTGCAAATCCGTTCCTTTATGCAATCTTCACGTATCAGTTTAAAAAAGACTGCTTGAATATATGCAGACAAGTTCAAAATTCGCCGGTACCTCCAATYATACAAATATCTTTAACGAAAAAACGTTTATCAATGAGTGGAATTCCAGCGGAATTACGTCAAGGGTCTCGTGCTAGTGTTGTTTATACTCCGGAGACACACAGTGATGGAAGAATGACWCTAAGAGTGCCTTCTTTTAAGTTAAGTAGAAGGTACTCGTTACCAGCTGCTTTTAAACTAGCGGCCAGCAGTCAACGAGGCAGTGTAAAAAGCTCTGGGGCCGAGTATTCAGACAATAATGAAAATTCAAAATGTTCAAATGAAAACACCACGGAACAGACGACTTTAACTCAAGAAAAAACAAGACAATCAAACATAAACAAGGCGCCAGGTTGTTCTAAGGACGAGAAGAATGATAATTCTTCAAACAAAAGTACAGAAGAGCAGAAACAAGATGCAACCGCAGAGAAGCCGCCACTAATTGACAGAAGAACTGCTGTGTAATTAATTTATGTATAATAATACTCACATTGTGTATCATATGTCTTAATTTATTATTTCAACATTGTTTAGCCTTAAATGGCACATCGCAATTGGGTTCCCCAAGTAATATTCAACGAAATGAAATAATCCTGGAAAGCTAGGCTACATTTTGTATAGCGCCTTTTTTGGGGAGAAACCGCAACAAGTCCAACAAGACGACGTTTGACAGTTTTTTTTGACAACATTATTTTATTCAAATATAAACAATTTCGTGACAAAATACAATTAATTATACAATAATAAATAATTAATTATTCAAAGAAATATCGTCAAGATGTAAAGACTTGATTGTACTGAGAACAGTAAAAATATCATTATGTAGCGCTGGTTTGGCTGCCTGTGATTACTGTATTCAGACTTTTTTGCAATCTGACACTGCTTGGGGGCCTCATTGCCCACACCCCCTCTGTATCTTTGGAACCAATAGTTGAATGACCATGAAATTTTCACAAAATGATCCCCCACGTAAAATGAACCACAACACCCAGTGGAAACACGTGGAAACTAGATGTGACGACATACTGACGATGTCTACATCATTTTAAACGAA